TCCACCCAACATTACCATACTCACCCAAGGAACTCCAGCTTCCTTGTCACATCAAACACTGTGAGTCCAGGTTGCACCATAGCTGTCCTGCCTTCATACCCACCATCAGGGAACCTCCAATCCTTCCACATTCTGAATTCTTCAGGCAAAAGTGATTCCAATCTTTGGGATTGCATTTGTTTCCACACTCTGGGAGACCCATGAAGAGATCCTAATGAACTTTTCTCATGCTCCACTGTGTCCCTTGGACACAGTAAGTTTCTGCAGTTCAGTAAGTGTTCAGTTAGGCATGAGATGCCTGTCCCGGTGTCGCACAGACCCTCTTGATCCCCAAGAGTAGTTCTTCTGCAGCAACCTTCATGCAGAGCACCTCTCCACCCCTCTGACCACAGGGTGTGACAAACAAGGCTTTCTCTACCCCGATGAGCTTCTTTCTAGAAAACACACTCTGCCAACCTCATTTGAACATCTACTCTCATAGATGTTGGAGTTTGGTGATGGAAATGGATAAGCCTCAACGTTTTCTCCTCTCACAATGCACCTTCTATGAAAAGAGTGACAAATTCTCTTTTTTCTTTAAGAATTATTTTTTATTTAACTTTATTTATTTATTTTCATTTGCCCAGAGAGGAACAGAGAGAGGAGAGAGAGAGAAAGCAAGAAGGCAAGCTGCCAGGTCCAGGACTTGAACCACAGTTACCCATGTGGAAGTCCAGTGCCCTTAACCACCACACCACCTGCCGGCCCCAGGGTGGCCAGCTCTATGTATCCTAGTCACATTATGTGAAGTTCCTCTTTGTCCAACTCATTCACCACATGAAATGCTTTCCCCAACTCTCTGCTGTGCTATAGGGCACATCCCAACCTCACTAGTGCTCGAAGTGTCCACAAACACCTCCAGCCTCTAGAAAGTTTTTGGTGGTCCATCCCACAGCCTCTTATTTCTTTGGCCCAGTCAACCTCTACTATATCCACACAAGGAGGAACTCCAGCTTCCTTGTCACATGAAACATTAATTTTCTCTTAATTCAAAACATCTGTAATCTATATCCTTCATTGGAAAATTAATCATGAATTCTTTGTGGAAACTTATATGGTCAACATGAGTAGTATTTGCATAGTTATGCTTAGAATACTGTAAAATAAAGTGTAAGCTAATAACTAGAAATGTCAAGTGTAATAGTAATTATAATGATGCCAGATGGTGATGGTGTGAGATGAAATGTCTCAAATATCAGAAATTTCAAAAAGTAAATGTATTTATATTTAGAACATGAATTATAGCCCTTAATACAGAATTAACATCACATTATGGGTGACAGAAATCTTGGAACTCTTATAAATCAGAGTCCACACAGAAGTTGTACCAGTGTGGCCAGAAGCACAAGCCCTCTGGTTTTCTGAACCTGGTTCCAGGACCACTCCTCATGCATCAACACTTGAATTTCAATTCTCAGTTTCCTTTAAATATCTGACCTAAGCCCCAGTTTTTATTTGTATTGTTTTGTTTTTAAGAGAACTTCTTACCTTTGCCAAATTTCATATTTCCAATTGTGGTTCAATATGTACAAAGGGCTGGATTTCACACCGTCAGAACTATGTTTGTCAGAGCAAATTTATCCTCAGTTGTCCAAATACCAAATGCTTTAAGAAAAGCCTTTGGCCAATGGATCAGCCCTGATGTTGTGGGCTGGCAGCAGGATCCTGTGGGCCCTAGGACACAGAGCACTTTGTCACATATTAGAGTTTGTACTGCCAGTGAGACAAGTGCCCTAGTCTCCCTCAGTAAAGATATAACTGAGGATTCTAGGATCAAGTCCATTCAGTTAGGAGTTCTGCTTTGTTTGGGACTGGAAGGTAAAGAGCCACACCTACTGTCACCAAAGGTCTATCAACTTTGTTCAGAGGACTGTAGCTTACTTGTGGGTGGATTATAAAAGGCAAATACAAATAACTGATGGAACCATGCCCCTTCTGTGGAGCTCCAGCAAATCATCCCGACAACGGTACAGCTGTGGTGGTAGGTTGGAAAACTGGGCAGATGCACTGTAGAAGGTGATAGGTATTCATGTAGAGTACATCTCAGAGGGAGTTCCTAAGTGCTGAAGAAGTTCATGACATAATAGATGAGGATCTGAGAGTAGAAATAGAACAGCAATACCCTAGGGGAGTGGTTTCCACATTCCTTGGTCTCAAGACACCTTTACATTCCAAAGCAGTGAGGACACCATGCTTTGTTTATGTGAGTATATGGGCTAATATTTACTGCATACAAAATTAAAATTAAGTCACTTGTAAAGTATTTTAATATCATTTTTTTATTCATTAAAGATAACATATACCCACTACATATAAGCATAAGCTTAAATAAGGTATTTTATGAAAAGTAACTCTATTTTCTAAAGCAAAAAATATCAGTAAGGAGAAAGACATTATTTTACATTTTGTAAATCAGTTTAAGATCTGACTTAATAGAAGACAGCTAGATTCTTATATCTGTTTCTATATTCACCTATTGTGACAAAACATGCTATAAAACCTTATAAGGTGTCACTATATACTAATGAAATAATGAGAGTGAAAAAGACAAATAACAACTTAGTATGATTATGAAAATAGATTTGACCTTGTTTACCCCAAAAAAGTGTTTCGGAAAACCTTGCAGATCCCTGCACTAAACTTTGAGAATACTGTCCTAGGGTTAACCCTTCAATAGCACCTAACTGGCTGAATTTGGTTATGACTGTGAATTTATCAATGAGGGTCTGGGTAATCTAAGAAAGTAATAAGTCAAGGATAAATGATGAAGATAGATATGAAAGGCCAAGAACATGCTGAAAACCCTAGCACACCTAAGGCGTGTTTGGAGACAGCTTTACATTCCAACTATTTCTATAATAGTTGTTTTAAAGAATTACTTGTTGTGATTATCCTACTTTGAGTAGTAATCATGGAATGAGAGTAATACAAATAGCAAATATAAGGAGATGCAATAGCAGAAGCATCCACTGTTGAAGATGAGTTTCTGTATCTAGAATAGCAGTTATCCTGTCTGAGGCCATTGCAGTATTTGGAATAGAAATGTAAATCTTATTACCTGTAATACTGCTGGAGTTACCTACATTAGTTTGGAGAATAGACTAATAGGGGAAACACTGGTAGATTAAGAAAATAGATGCAAACAAGATGATATGAACTCTGATTCCAAGGCAGAGACTGCCTCCCTAAGCCATGTCCTTGCATTCTCATCTCTGTCTGGGTGATTCATTTTATAGTAGAGTCAGAGCCAATTGCTGATAATAACAAGAGCTTAAGACTATCTCATAATTGAGATTAATTCTAATTTTCCAGAATACTCTAGCATCTACAAACAGAAGTATTTATAAAATCTGTAGGAAGTTTATCAGTATTAACAACAAAAGAAATGGCTACAGAGTTTGGGAACTTATATTTTAAACATGTATAATCATATATTTCTCTTCTATGAGGGTAAAAAGTAATATGAAACAGTTCCAATTTAATGTTTTTAGTGCTTGAAGTCACGGTATATACAAGATTTTTAATGGTAGTATTTCTCATGTCTATAGCTACAGTTAAGGATCTCTTCAGAAGCAATAATATAAGCTACTGTATGGTGTATTATGGATGGGAAATCGCATTTTGTATGTTGTGATGATGTTCAGTGAAAGAATGTAAAATCAATAAATTTAAAATAAAAATAATTTTTAAAAGAAGCAATAATATTTTCAGCATGTATAATATAAAATTACTATATTTGTATTTGCTATATTGGTATTTTCCTTGGAAAAATCCATAGGAAAATAAGGTAATGTTTTAGCATTAATAATTAATAATCTGTAATATTAATAACTATTGTTAAAGATATTACTTGAATGTCATGAGTATCACCAGAGCTCTCAGGTATGATGTTCGGTTATTTAATCCAAAACACAAGTGGGGCTATTTTAATAACTACTTCTAAATCAATAGTATTTACAGAACCTAATGTGATATTATCTGAGATACCAAAATCACTTGTAAAATCTATTGAAAGGATATATAAGATATCTGTAGTTTAATTATTGGGGCTAAAGGAATAATAACTATAATCAAAAATAGTAGTACATATTTGGCTTTAAGATAAGTATGTACCGCTTATTTGGTGAGGTTGATAATGGGTGCATCCCAAACACATGTACGATGTCTACAGTGTTTAGAGTAGCCCTCTCTATGGCTAGAGTACTAATACTTATTAAAAATGAGTCTGTTTATCTATTAACATAAGACTGTGTATCTGTTAACTGATTTTCTATAATAGTTGTTTTAAAGAATTACTTGTTGTGATTATCCTACTTTGAGTAGTAATCATGGAATGAGAGTAATACAAATAGAAAATATAAGGAGATGCAGTAGCAGAAGTATCCACTGTTGAAGATGAGTTTCTGTATCTAGAATAGCAGTTTTCCTGTCTGAGGCCATTGCAGTATTTGGAATAGAAATGTAAATCTTATTACCTGTAATACTGCTGGAGTTACCTGCATTAGTGTTATTTACTATACATTCTGTACTGCTTGTAGTATTAGTGGTGGAAATACTTGTAGAACTTGGAATGTAAGTTTTTTTAAGAACTGTATCAGAAGTAGTCATTGAATTTGTAGGTTTTGTGCTGGAAATATGTGTAGCAATAGTGGTAAAATATCTTGTAATGACATCTCCAGTAGCTTTAGTAGTAGCTATAATACCTATAATTTTATATGTGAAGAAATGGCAAAGGTTTCAATACTAGCAATTATTGGGCTTGTGGTGGTGGATAAATATTCACAGTAGGAGTTGTGATGTTAACATTAATAGTATCTGGGTTGTCTTTAATAGGAGTTCCTATCATATCTGTAACACCTGGTATTATATTGGTACTATGTCCATCGGCAGAGGTTGGTGTTATGATATCATGAGCATTTGTAGAAGTTGTATTAAAAGCATGAGTACCCCAAATAGCCCTACTAAGTGATGGTAATATTTCCAGTAAGTGCAGTGGTGTTGGCACCAGAGGTGTCTACAGGAGGTGGAGTGGAAATCACCTGAGTGGTAGTTTCTACAGAAGTAACGTTTGTAATCTTAGTGACCACAGTGGCTCTTGCAGTTGTATCTATGTCTCCTACAGTGGTAATATTTATAATATTTCTAGTAAGTGAATCCACACCAGTAGCTGTGGTGTTTTTGATAGTAGTACTGCTAGTGCCAGCATTAGATAAATTTGTAGGAGTCAGGGTTGTGTTGTTTCTGGCTGGTGTTGTAGTAACACTTCTGGGGGAGTGACTAGTGCTACCAAGAGTAGTAAAACTAGTTGTAACATCAGTAGAACTTATTGGAGAAGGAGTGGTTGTGATAGGAACAGTAGCACTAGTGTCAGTAGCAGTAGTGCTTGTAGGAGAAGGAATAATTGGATCAGAAGGGGTAGTACTAATATCTAAAGAACTTATTGGGAAAGGAGTGGCTCTGATAGGATCAGTTGCACTAGTGCTATCAGTAGTAACATTTGTAGGGGAAGGTGTATTTGTATTAGGAACAATAGTACTAGTTGTAGCATCAATAGTACTAGTAGATAAAGAAGTGCTTGTGATAAAATCAGTAATACTAGTACTGATAGTAGTACTGGTAGTGGAAGGAGCAGTTGTATTAGGAACAATAACACTACTAGTATTACTAGTAGCTGTTCGGAAAGGAATGGTTGTGATAGACCCAGGAGGAACAATATTAGCAGTACTAGGACTAATAGGAGAAGAGACAGTTGTATTAGGGAGAGCAGTACTAATGTTCACATCAGCAGTACTTTTAAGGAATGATGTAGTTAGGATAGGAGGAGTACCACTAGTAGGAAAAGAAAAAGCTGTATTAGGGTAAGCAGTACTAAAGTTAGTATCTGCAGTACTTGTAGGGAATGGTGTCATTAGGATAGGAGGAGTACCACTAGTAGGGAAGGAAGAAGTTGTATTAGGGAGAGCAGTGCTAGTGCTAGTATCTGCAGTACTTGTAGGGAATGGTGTAGTTAGGATAGGAGGAGTACCACTAGTAGGGAAGGAAGAAGTTGTATTAGGAAGAGCAGTGCTAATGTTAGTATCTGCAGTACTTGTAGGGAATGGTGTCGTTAGGATAGAAGGAGTACTACTAGTAGCAAAGGAAGAAGTTGTATTAGGGAGAGCAGTGCTAGTGCTAGCATCAGCAGTACTTGTAGGGGATGACATAGTTAAGACTGGAGCAGTAGCACTGGTGCTAGCAGTTGTAGTAGTTGTAGAAGTCATAGTTGTATTCAGAATAATATTACTAGTTGTAACATCAGCAGAACTTGGGGAAGAAGTGGTTGTGACATAATCAGTAGCACTAGTACTATCAGTAGTAATACTGATGGTAGAATACGCAGTTGTATTAGGGACAGCAGTACTAACGTTAATATCAGCAGTGCTTGTAGGGAATGATGTGGTTATGATAGGAGCAGCAGCACTGGTGGTATCTATAGTAGTACTGATGGTAGAGTACACAGTCGTAGAATACGCAGTCGTATTAGGGACAGCAGTACTGACATTAACATCAGCAGTACTTGTAGGGAATGATGTGGTTATGGTAGGAGTGGTAACACTGGTGGTATCTACAGTAGTACTGATGGTAGAATACGCAGTCGTATTAGGGACAGCAGTACTGACATTAACATCAGCAGTACTTGTAGGGAATGATGTGGTTATGGTAGGAGTGGTAACACTGGTGGTATCTACAGTAGTACTGATGGTAGAATACGCAGTCGTATTAGGGACAGCAGTACTGACATTAACATCAGCAGTACTTGTAGGGAATGATGTGGTTATGGTAGGAGTGGTAACACTGGTGGTATCTACAGTAGTACTGATGGTAGAATACGCAGTCGTATTAGGGACAGCAGTACTGACATTAACATCAGCAGTACTTGTAGGGAATGATGTGGTTATGGTAGGAGTGGTAACACTGGTGGTATCTACAGTAGTACTGATGGTAGAATACGCAGTCGTATTAGGGACAGCAGTACTGACATTAACATCAGCAGTACTTGTAGGGAATGATGTGGTTATGGTAGGAGTGGTAACACTGGTGGTATCTACAGTAGTACTGATGGTAGAATACGCAGTCGTATTAGGGACAGCAGTACTGACATTAACATCAGCAGTACTTGTAGGGAATGATGTGGTTATGGTAGGAGTGGTAACACTGGTGGTATCTACAGTAGTACTGATGGTAGAATACGCAGTCGTATTAGGGACAGCAGTACTGACATTAACATCAGCAGTACTTGTAGGGAATGATGTGGTTATGGTAGGAGTGGTAACACTGGTGGTATCTACAGTAGTACTGATGGTAGAATACGCAGTCGTATTAGGGACAGCAGTACTGACATTAACATCAGCAGTACTTGTAGGGAATGATGTGGTTATGGTAGGAGTGGTAACACTGGTGGTATCTACAGTAGTACTGATGGTAGAATACGCAGTCGTATTAGGGACAGCAGTACTGACATTAACATCAGCAGTACTTGTAGGGAATGATGTGGTTATGGTAGGAGTGGTAACACTGGTGGTATCTACAGTAGTACTGATGGTAGAATACGCAGTCGTATTAGGGACAGCAGTACTGACATTAACATCAGCAGTACTTGTAGGGAATGATGTGGTTATGGTAGGAGTGGTAACACTGGTGGTATCTACAGTAGTACTGATGGTAGAATACGCAGTCGTATTAGGGACAGCAGTACTGACATTAACATCAGCAGTACTTGTAGGGAATGATGTGGTTATGGTAGGAGTGGTAACACTGGTGGTATCTACAGTAGTACTGATGGTAGAATACGCAGTCGTATTAGGGACAGCAGTACTGACATTAACATCAGCAGTACTTGTAGGGAATGATGTGGTTATGGTAGGAGTGGTAACACTGGTGGTATCTACAGTAGTACTGATGGTAGAATACGCAGTCGTATTAGGGACAGCAGTACTGACATTAACATCAGCAGTACTTGTAGGGAATGATGTGGTTATGGTAGGAGTGGTAACACTGGTGGTATCTACAGTAGTACTGATGGTAGAATACGCAGTCGTATTAGGGACAGCAGTACTGACATTAACATCAGCAGTACTTGTAGGGAATGATGTGGTTATGGTAGGAGTGGTAACACTGGTGGTATCTACAGTAGTACTGATGGTAGAATACGCAGTCGTATTAGGGACAGCAGTACTGACATTAACATCAGCAGTACTTGTAGGGAATGATGTGGTTATGGTAGGAGTGGTAACACTGGTGGTATCTACAGTAGTACTGATGGTAGAATACGCAGTCGTATTAGGGACAGCAGTACTGACATTAACATCAGCAGTACTTGTAGGGAATGATGTGGTTATGGTAGGAGTGGTAACACTGGTGGTATCTACAGTAGTACTGATGGTAGAATACGCAGTCGTATTAGGGACAGCAGTACTGACATTAACATCAGCAGTACTTGTAGGGAATGATGTGGTTATGGTAGGAGTGGTAACACTGGTGGTATCTACAGTAGTACTGATGGTAGAATACGCAGTCGTATTAGGGACAGCAGTACTGACATTAACATCAGCAGTACTTGTAGGGAATGATGTGGTTATGGTAGGAGTGGTAACACTGGTGGTATCTACAGTAGTACTGATGGTAGAATACACAGTCGTATTAGGGACAGAAGTACTACCATTAGCATTGGTAGTAGTCATAGGGGATGATGTAGTTATAATAGGAGTAGTAGCACTAGTGCCAGTAGTTGTATCAGTTCGAGGGGAAGTAGTAGTTGTATCAGGAATAATAGTACCTATCGTAGTATCAGCAGAACTTGTCAGGGAAGGAGTGGTTGTGGCAAAATCAGTAGTAGTAGTGCTTGCAGTAGTTGTAATAGCACCATGAATCCAAGTAACTTCGGTTAACTTTTCCAGACTGATATTCTTGTTAGTCAGTTGAATAATTAGTGTCTACCAGACAAAGGAAAGATAAAACTAGTATTTTGTAACTTCTTAAGCATCAAATTATAATTTAACAAAAATAATATATTCATTATTTTCCAAAAGAGTAATAATATTTAAACGTTACTTTTCAAATCACATTGATTCCAGTGAGAGAATCATGAAGAGAATCACTGGGTATGAAATCCCTCTGCTAAAAATATTACTTTGCACCTCATTTAGTCATAACCACAAATATTTATAGCTGTGATTTCAACCAATATTTTTGAAAATTTCTTTGATTTATCATTAGATTTTAACCTTCTTGACAGCAGACTGGTTTTACATTTTTACTATCCCCCACCTCCTAGTGTACAGCCTGGCACATAACAGGCATCTGATGTGCTGTAAAGTTTTCCAAAAAGAGGACATTCAAAGAGTTTCTGTATCAGTCTTAACTAGAAGCAATTACTAAGAGTGTTCTGAATGCAGTAATCTTGGAAAATGTTTTAAAGTAAAACACTAAAACAACCTAGAGGGGGAGGACCTATTCATGTGCTCAGATGGGTTATTTTCCAAAAATGAAAACCATCAAAGTGTCCTTTTTACTTTTGAGAAAACAGAAACTATATAGTTATCCACTTACTTTTCTAAATCAACCCCTATGGGCTACTGAGTCCATATTTATGATAAGTCTCATTTCTCAAAGTGGGTACTCTCCTTTTTAATTGCCCTTGGTAGCTCTACTGGTAATTCGTCTTCCAAATGCTGGTTTAGTTGATTCTGACAACTAAGAGCAGACCCTTTAGCAAGATCTATTTATGTTGCTCTGTTTTATTAAATCAAATAATTTTATTTTACATCCTTTGTGGGATATATTCTTTTGACAATTACCACACTTTGCTATCAATTTTTATCAACCTGTAATCCATTCAATTTGATTAGGAATGTGAATAATTCCAAGAAGGAGGGGAGAAACCTTCAACAACTTTAAGAAATGACTTTGGGGACCAGCAGTTAGTGTAATGGCTATGTCATTGGACTCCCATGTAGTTGACTGCGGTTCGAGTCCCAGACCCGGTGGCTTAAAACTCAAGCCAGGCACATGTGCATGCGTGCCCAAGATCCCAAGAAGAGAATGGAGGAGAAGGGATTGCGGTGTGGCCATCCCCCGCTGGGGGGTTATTTCTCACTTTCTGTCTCTCTATCTCTCTCTTTCTGGTGAGCGCACACGCCCTATAGCAAAAACCTCTCAAAAAAAAAAGAAATTAAAAAAACTATTATTTCTTAATAAAGTTTTTTATTTATTTCTAAATAAAACTATTATTTAATAAAGCTTTGTCAAGAACAGGGATAAAAAAATGAAACACTGCCTGACTTTGGTGGTAAAAGGAATGGAAAAATAAGGACTTCCAGAGAGCCTAACCCAGCTGGTCCTCCTTTGTTGAACCCCTGGGTGAGTGGCCATTCCACAATCCCTTCTCCTATGTTCTCTTCTCAGCATTTGAACATGCATGTTCGTGCACCTGGTGTGTTTTTCAAGGCACTAGGTCTGGGACTCAAACCGTGGAGTTGGCCATGTGGGATCCAGCACCTCAATCTCTACGCCACCTGCTCTCCCCACACAGTGCTTTCTAAAAGACCTTTAAAAAAAAAAAAAAAAAAAAAAAAAAAAGAATTTTAATTAACTTTCAGACTGATATTCTTGTTAGTCAGTTGAATAATTAGTGTCTACCAGACAAAGGAAAGATAAAACTAGTATTTTGTAACTTCTTAAGCATCAAATTATAATTTAACAAAAATAATATATTCATTATTTTCCAAAAGAGTAATAATATTTAAACGTTACTTTTCAAATCACATTGATTCCAGTGAGAGAAACATGAAGAGAATCACTGGGTATGAAATCCCTCTGCTAAAAATATTACTTTGCACCTCATTTAGTCATAACCACAAATATTTATAGCTGTGATTTCAACCAATATTTTTGAAAATTTCTTTGATTTATCATTAGATTTTAACCTTCTTGACAGCAGACTGGTTTTACATTTTTACTATCCCCCACCTCCTAGTGTACAGCCTGGCACATAACAGGCATCTGATGTGCTGTAAAGTTTTCCAAAAAGAGGACATTCAAAGAGTTTCTGTATCAGTCTTAACTAGAAGCAATTACTAAGAGTGTTCTGAATGCAGTAATCTTGGAAAATGTTTTAAAGCAAAACACTAAAACAACCTAGAGGGGGAGGACCTATTCTTGTGCTCAGATGGGTTATTTTCCAAAAATGAAAACCATCAAAGTGTCCTTTTTACTTTTGAGAAAACAGAAACTATATAGTTATCCACTTACTTTTCTAAATCAACCCCTATGGGCTACTGAGTCCATATTTATGATAAGTCTCATTTCTCAAAGTGGGTACTCTCCTTTTTAATTGCCCTTGGTAGCTCTACTGGGAATTCGTCTTCCAAATGCTGGTTTAGTTGATTCTGACAACTAAGAGCAGACCCTTTAGCAAGATCTATTTATGTTGCTCTGTTTTATTAAATCAAATAATTTTATTTTACATCCTTTGTGGGATATATTCTTTTGACAATTACCACACTTTGCTATCAATTTTTATCAACCTGTAATCCATCAATTTGATTAGGAATGTGAATAATTCCAAGAAGGAGGGGAGAAACCTTCAACAACTTTAAGAAATGACTTTGGGGACCAGCAGTTAGTGTAATGGCTATGTCATTGGACTCCCATGTAGTCGACTGCGGTTCGAGTCCCAGACCCGGTGGCTTAAAACTCAAGCCAGGCGCATGTGCATGCGTGCCCAAGATCCCAAGAAGAGAATGGAGGAGAAGGGATTGCGGTGTGGCCATCCCCCGCTGGGGGGTTATTTCTCACTTTCTGTCTCTCTATCTCTCTCTTTCTGGTGAGCGCACACGCCCTATAGCAAAAACCTCTCAAAAAAAAAAGAAATTAAAAAAACTATTATTTCTTAATAAAGTTTTTTATTTATTTCTAAATAAAACTATTATTTAATAAAGCTTTGTCAAGAACAGGGATAAAAAAATTAAACACTGCCTGACTTTGGTGGTAAAAGGAATGGAAAAATAAGGACTTCCAGAGAGCCTAACCCAGTTGGTCCTCCTTTGTTGAACCCCTGGGTGAGTGGCCATTCCACAATCCCTTCTCCTATGTTCTCTTCTCAGCATTTGAACATGCATGTTCGTGCACCTGGTGTGTTTTTCAAGGCACTAGGTCTGGGACTCAAACCATGCAATTGACCACCTGGGACCCAGCCATCTTAACCTCCATGCTACCTGCTGGCCCCAATTTTTGTTTTAAACACATGGGGAGGATCTCATCTGACCGTTGATGATTGGCCTCTGGACTACACCCAGAGGATCACTAATGCACATTTTACAACATGATTCGGCACTCATGACTTTTCATGAACATACCTGTAACTTTTTAAATATATGCTAATATGTCAATGATTAAAATAGCAGTAATAATTTTGTATAATGAAATTAACTTATGATGCTATATTTCTTTCAGATATACCTGATTGTAAGGGTCACTCTTGAAATTTGTCTCCATGGATAACTGGTTGTCATAGATGAAACTGACTTGTGTCACATAAGAAGAGTTCATACCCCAGATTCTAATATATCCAACTCTCAGTGGATTTGCATCATTCAAATACTTATTGTGTATGGTCTGTATTCGCAAGATGTTCTACAAAAAATTTATAGAAAGACAAAAATCATAATAAATCATAATACATTGTTGATAGACTATGTTCATATTAAGATGTTAAGAAACCACTTTTGTACTGGTTTGCTGTTTTGTTTTGTTTTTCTTCTTTTTTTATAATTGCCAGAGGGCATGTGTACTCACCAGAGAAAAGGAGAAAGAGAGACAGAGAGAATCCACTCAGTGGAGGTTATCACACCACAATCCTTTTACCTCAATTTTTTCATCCCATCAGTATTTGGAGCATGCACAACACATGTTCCTGGTGTATTTTTCAAGTTGCTCATCCCTAATGGGTTCAACCATATGGGATCCAACTTCTGGATGCACTGTGCCCTCTCTTTTAATTTTTAACTAAACACTTCGTGAAAACATATTTCCTGAGTACCTACTTTAATAAATTTTTAACAGTGTTTATTTATTTATTTAATTTTATCATTATCATTATTGTTTTAATTTGCAACTAAACACATACACTCACTAGAGAGAAACAGAGAGAGGGAGAGAGAGAGAGAGAGAAAGAGAGAGAATGAGAAAGCAAGCTGCCAAGTCCAGGACTCAAAGCAAGGTCAGCCATGTGGGAGTCCAGAGCCCCAGCCACCATGCCATGTATGAACATTCTAAAAGTCCTTTTATCTATATTATCTCTAATTCTTACAATACCATTGAAAAGAAAGTATCATTATCTCTATCATACATAGAAGGAAACTTAAGCACTAGGGACAAAGTGAGTAGCCCAAGGCCACAAGCTAAATGACATAAATAGAGTTATACTCATGATCAGCCCACGTGTATGGTACTGAATGAGTTAATGCAGGGTGAATAAAGAAGTAGGGCAAACAGTCATTAGACTGAGGACAGTACGCAAGAAACAGGCAATTACTTTAATCATGAACCATTTAAGCAGTAATACAAGGGGTAAAATAATATTGTAGAGAGGTTTTTACTATAGTAAAATGGGCATGTGTGCTTGCCAGAAAGACAGAGAGAGACAAAGAGACAGAAAGTGAGAAATCACCCCCTGGGCAGATGGTCACACCACAATTACTTCTCCACTCTCCTCTCAGGATTTTGGGCATTCTGCACATGAACCTTGTGTGAGGGTTTTTTTTTTTTTATCTCTTAATTTATTATCATTTTAATTGACAAAAAATTGGACATATTTATGGTGTATAACATCATGTATTGAGATACACACATACAATGGAAAGAATAAGTCAAGTCAATTAATATATCTATTACTCACATATTATTATTTTTACATTGAGAACATTAAAATCTACTCTCTTAGCAATTTAAAAAGATACATATTTATTATTTTTTAAATATATTATTATTTTCTTTTAATTTCTTTTATACATTCAATCGCTTAGCTTGTAAAGTGAATTTTCAACATGAATACATTTCACACCAGTCCAGTTGGGGATACTATACACGTTATCATCAACAGATAATAACCCATTTGTGTGTCCCATAAATGTCTTCATCTTAATGTCTCCTTACATTCTCTTCCTACTCCCGGCTCCTCCCACACTGTATTCAGTATCTATAACCATTTTCCTGTTTCTACCCTCTAATCTTTCAGTTTCAGCCATTGAGTGTGGACATTCAGTATTTTTTTTTGAGAGTTTTTTTGTTTTGTTTGTTTGTTTGTTTGGTATAGGGCGCATGAGCTCACTAGAAAGACAGAGAGACAGAAAGTGAGAAATCACCCCCAGGGAGGATAGCCATGCCACAATCCCTTTTCCTCCATTCTCTTCTTGGGATCTTGGACACACATGCACACACGCCCAGCGTGAGTTTAGGCCACCGGGTCCAGAACTCAAACCATGATCAGCTACATGGGAGTCCAGCAACGAAGCCATTACACCACCTGCTGGTCCCAACAGTCAGTAT